ACAATTCAAAGGTTTTTAAATACCCTGGAAGAGAAGGTATTATTTATATTATAAATAAAAATTTCTATTAGCTATTAATAGGCACTTATATCCGTCGGTTCTTAACTAATAATAATACTTATAATAAAGTGAAATATTAGACAAATTAGAAAAGAGGGTTATTAAAGCCTCTTCCTATCTTAAATTAATTTGTTAAAAATATTTAGATAGATTTTATTATTAATTTCCCCTCTATAGGAAGTTGCATTAACCTCTGTATTATTAAAGTAAAGTTTAGCAAATCGGTAATTTTAGAACTAATACCTTCTATAGAGGTAGAAATAATAGTAGAAATTTTCCTTAAGTATTTTATATAATATTATAGGTAACTATAATTTATCGTTAATAATAAGGGTATTAATTAGATTAATTAATTTTAGAAGTATCTTTACAATTTATTAAATATCGATCAGTTTTTGAATACCGCTTTTTACCTATAAACTGACAGTAGCCTCAAAATAATAAACTAGGAAGTATAAACCTTCTTAAGAATTTTCGTCAATTACGCCTAAAACGATTAGGATTATTAGTACCTAATAGTATAATTAGCGATTAATAGCCGAGTTAATACTTTTATTAATATATTTCTATTCTTTACTACCTACGGCCATGATCCATAATCCCTAATAATTCTAGTAACTCCCCTAATAGAAATAAATTTTAAAAACCCATAGGTAAAAACTAAAGATTTCATTACAATACTATAATAAATCACGGATCTATATCAAATAACTATAGCAATCTCTATATAAGAGTAGAAACATTTCGCTAACTATAAAAAATAACCAATTAAAGTCTTTAAAGTAAAGAATAAAATTTGGCTAAACTTTAAAAATTTCATTATAGTACGCCCTAAAAAGAAATTTGATTAAATTTACGCAAAATATACAATATTTAGAATTCTTAGCCCTTTCGTAATAGAATTCTCCGACCTCTCCTTAAAGGTCTTTAATAAATTTTATATTGACTTACTTCAGAAGGTTCGCAATAACCTTTTACCAAGCTAAATTACTACCAATTCTTAACTATTAACTATTATAGTAAATAGGGAGAAGGAATACTTTATAAATAAAATCCTCTACTATATAATTAAAAAAGGTTATAAAATAATTTTAATTAATTGGATTAACTAAATATAATAGTCTTAAGAGCTATTAAAAGAATTCGCTAATACAGCGGCCTTAAACCATTTCGAAGCAAAATATAATTTAATTAATATTAACAATAAATTAATTAAATATTTTAGTATAAAATATACGAAATAATAAAAACGGTAATAAAGGAAGAAAAAAGGAAGATAATAAATATTAATTCTAAATTTCTCTAATTCTTCTTATGTATTTTACGTTTTTAATCATTCCTAATTTCTATAACTTTTAACTACTTTCCCAATAATTCGAAGCGGGCTACTAATTCTATTATAATAAACTCCTTAGAAGGGAAGGCGAAGGTCGGGGGAACAACCGGGATAATAGGAGCGGCAAAGGTTGGAGGAGCGGCGGCGGCGATATTAGAGGCCGAAAGGAAGTAATTATACTCCTATTTAGAAATTTTAATTAATTGAGATTTATTTTTATTACAGTAAATAAAATATAAGAGATTTACGAATAAATAGCGTTATTTCTATATAATTTGGCGGTGTAGCGTTAAATAGTTATAGTTCTACGAACGTACTTAAAAGCTTTCGTCTTCTCTTTATTAGAAATTGCCACTTCCTAAATTATAGTAAATTTCTAAGTTAAAGACGAAGCCCGGTTATACTATTTACTATTATTATAGTAGACTATATACGCCCGGTTTCCGGGTTTAATATAGTATTCATACGAAACGTTCAAGTACGAAATATACGGGACTTCAGAAAGATTATAATCTATTTAAAGAATAAATAAAATTAATAACGATTTCTTAAAATAGGAATAATAGGGAAGACTTATTAATAAATATTTTAATTTAATAAATTTAGGTTTCTTAAGGGTAGCGATAAGGTTTTTAATATACCTACAATAAGCGGCAACCTTTTAGAAAGGGGATTAGGAACTATACAATAATAACGAAGACGAAGTTTCGTTTTTAAATAATTAAAATAAAAATAGGGACGGTTTAAATAAAATTAAATAAAGTATTTACTTTAGTTAGGAAGGGTAAGCGAAGAATTAGTTAGGGGATAATAATATTTACTTTAGTAGTTTGAGTAACGATTAGAAAAAAAAGAAGAAAGGAAAGAAAAAGGGAAAAGAAGTCAGGGGAAGGGTTTTTATATATAATTCTGGAAGTACGTATATACGTACGCTATTACTTATTACCTACTACTTTCGTCAGTCGAAATAGAAGGAGCGAATATATAGAGGGGTAAAAGGAGGGAGGAGGGGGGTAATATTATAGGGTTAAAACCCGGGCTATGGCGCTCTGGTTATCGATTAGAATTATTATAAGGCGCTGTAGCTATATTTGTGCAACCCCCATTAAAACCTCGTATTTCTAGTGGAGCCGCCTCTTAGATAGAACTTTCCTTCTTTATAGAACCTTAATTAAACTATACGACTAGTACTTATATTAATTATGCTGTCCCCGTTATAAGAATAGTCAAGTTTGTATAAGGTATTAATAATAATACTAGTTATTACCTCTAGCTGTAGCCAGTTAGGCTCCTAGTACTCCTATTAAGCCCGATTAATAGTAAAAAAGTAGCATTTTCCTATTTTTCTAAATTAATAGGCTTTGGTATATTACGATACCTTTTTAGGAAGTCGATTAGGTCTTATGCAGGCGATACGTCGATTACAAGGAGATTATAAGGGGTTTATAGGGCTCCCAAGCTAGTGTGGTACGAGTTAAGCTTTTGAACGTCTTCTTTGAGCCATATGCAGTGTGATTAACTGCATATTTACTGTATATTAATAGTAGGGATTAATTTTGTATAGGAATGGAATCAACTGGGAGTAAATTGGAACACGCCCTACATGTCGCATATCAACCCTCTCAAACGAACATCGAATCCAGATCGTACGTCAATGACACGACCGGATGATACCTATCATCCCAAAGCCAAGACTGTCGCTGACGCCCAAGAGTTGACCTGCTTTATCCACTACCCTGCGAGCCCGCCTTCTAGTATCATCCTTATTTACGGAGTCCTTTCACTAGTACATACTATGTACACAATTACCCCTGACGACCTTCTTCTCGATAAATGTTGTCTTGGCAACTAATTACCATCTTCACGCCAGGTCTGGTTGTGTTAATGAATTTGGAGTAAATGATAGACCAGTGCCTCCTTTTCGGGAAGTTTTGCCGTAAAATGCCGACAAGAAGGTTAGAGTGTACTATTTTGCATATGAGTAGTAGAGGTAGGTATGGAGTATTTGCCTCCGCATATCGGTGGCGGTCGTTTTCCGTTGTTTTTCGCTTCTTGTTACACAGTAGACTTGTCTATCTTGTACTGATCTTTAACTTTGTTGTGTACAATAATTCGTGGTTACCCTTATCTGACTGGCTACCATGGAGGCATATTTGGGGGTACAATTCATCATAGCCCTCCAACATTCGGCGGCTATGATGTGTATACTAAAATCATCCAGCTGTTCTTCTGCACGTGGTGGTGCGCCGAACAGCCGGTAGATAGGGATATCGAAATTGACTTCGACCCAGTCTGATCCCTTCTACGAAAAAAATGTACATAAGTACACATGGCGTCGTATCGAGCTCGCAAGGCTGTTAGAGCGCCCGAAACACATACGATGCAATCGAGGATCAATGGGGAGAGATCTTCATCATCATCATTCAAAACGGAGGTGTACGGGTCAAATGCGTGGCGAATATAGAGACAAATGTGTTGCTGCGCCGCTTCGTTGCTAACTGCTTCACTGGTCCGAGTCCTTCGAAGAATTGTCCAACTAAATAACGTCAATGGACGGACGGCAACGGGAGACAATGCTCCCAAAGGCATTTTATCCACCGAATCACAGTTAATTCCAAGAACTGGTAACTATTAGCTTTCAATATCGGGTATCTCCGTGCGGATTGAAAGACGGACCTGCGTTTTGACTGCGAGCCCGGCAATGGCCGACACAGTCTCAAGACGGGAGCCAAACATGAAGCGAGCACTCGGATGACATTCCTCGTGGCTATCAAAGTCACGCCAATCTGTCTACGAACGAAGAATCTCAACACCACCTCTCGGGGTGCCCGCCCGCCTTAAGGGTACGGCTTCCAGTAAACCGGCCAAGGCTGATCAGAATAGGCACTAATTCAGATCTTATCGACAGTTTAGATTCCACAATGTTCATCTTGTATTCGTATCGTGAATCATACCTGGCACACCACACATCCCGTCATGCAGGAACACTCGCAACGACCACCAGAGCAGAGGGGGGCAAAAGGGCAAAAAGGCAACACCCCATAGAACAGACCGGATTTTCCACTCATAGGAAGCCGGGCCCCAGCCAAACCTGGTTTCTCGAGGCTATATCGGGTCAAGCATCAGAAGTACACCCGCCTGAGCCCTCAAGTCTTGGTGCAAGAAGTCAAAACATAACGGGATTCTCCCCATAGACGTCATAAGCAGTGCAAGCAAGATACCTCCAGTTTCCGTCATCCGTGATCCAGGTTCGCCAAGATCCGCCTTGGCCGTACCGTACCTCCCGGGGCATTCAGTCCGATGGAGGGCCGAAGATCATTTCGAGGTTTCGAGCCAATGTTCCCCGGTTGATGTAACCCTGAAGCTCACCGGTCCCATCAACATGGCTATACAGAAACGCTGGAAGGTTTATGGCGTATAACCAGCGTTGATCACTTCACATGTATTGGTCCTATGATGTTAGCAGGCAAGATAATCCACCGACCGCTCCTCGACATTGAAGTCATACAGCCGCTTCGATGGAAGCCCACCATCGAGGTTCATGGGCCCCCGTTTAGCTCCGACAGCCGCGCCAGTGTCGAGTCCAGCCGATGAAACCCCCACAGACGCTTCACCTTGATCCCTCTCATTCAGCACCATGTAAATAAGGTATGATATCATTACAGAGTAAATTATTGTTATTGTCGCTTGTTTGGTATACCGGCTCCGGGCTCCCAGTCCCTCGCCATGCGCCTCTTCCATCCATCCATCAATCACCACATCATAAGGGGTGACCGGGACAGAACCCACGCATTTCCTCCTCTTCTTCCTAACCCCGTTAGAGGGCAATCCAGATGAGCATGATGACAACATCAAGCCCCTTGGCCTCGCCATCATACTTGAAGCTCCACATGCCGTCCGTCTTCTCGTTCCAGTAGCCCGCCGTCGCGCTGTGCATACCGCGGCGGCCCGCCTGTCCCTTCTTGCTGGCGGCGGGAGCAGCCTCCGACGAGGTCGACTCGCCCTCGGGGCCGGTGCCGGTCGACGTACTTGTGCTGGTGGCCTTGTTGAGTTGCGAGGTGGGCACAACGTGCTGCACGATGGTGCTGTTGACGGCGAACTTGTAGGCCGGGGTTGTGGCGCCTTGGGGGGTCGCTTCGGACATTACCGCCTTGAGCATTTTTTGCTGGAATCGGAGGTCAGTTAACGTTGCGCCCTTCGTCTTACTTAAGTATACCAGAAGACCCCTTTCTCATTCGCTGGATCGTAGGCAGATGCGCCTGTTCTGTGTTCCTCGGATACGGAGAAGGCGGTATGTATGGAGAGCAGGTGGGCAGGGACAGAGGACTAGGCAACGTAGCGGAAACGTACAATGATGGCCTCATTCCATTGTGCGGTCTTGGGGTGCTCATAGTATTCGACGCTGGCGAAGGTGCTGTTGCACACCTGTTTGTTAAAAAAGTGTCAGCGCATTTCGCAACGTTCGAGTGACAGGTCCGGATTTCGTTTGGCGACCGCCGTCCTGGAAAAAGGGGTCGAAGGCGAACGTACGTCGGTAGCGATCTGCTCGAGGCGCTTGGGCGGCAGGGGCTGGTTTTCGCATCGCAAAGTCAGTAAAAACTGCTCAGCTCAAGGAGGCCGGCCGAAAATCCTCACAGAGTTCGATGGGGAGGCCATTTTGTTGTGTGGTGTTGTGTGGTTGTTGGGTGTAAGTCGGTGTTTATTTTACGATTGTTGCGGTGCGATGCGATAGAGGAGGAGACCCTGGTCCAAAGGCTGTCGCGTTAAATGGAATGTCCAACCAATCTCGTCTCTCAAACTCTGGGGGGCAATCATACAGCTGCTCTTCGAGGGACAAGGGTGGATATACTCTTTAACACGGCCCTGGGATGTTGAAAAGGGGATGCTAGGAGACGGCTGCGGAGAGAAAGTTGTGATGTAGAATTGTAGATGCCCAAATCTTAAACGGTCGTTATCACCAACACACACGCGATCAGTTCGTCCGTTGCCTGCCCGATGCGCTCTGCCACTGAGTCGGTATCACACTGCCCTGCAGGGAGTGATGGCCGCTGCTGGGTGGGCAACTGCAGCGGGTGCGGTGGAGGGCGGGGAGCAATGCCAAGCATCCAATTTGTAGCCTCAGCGTTGGTCACTGACACTGACAGCTGACAGACCAAAACGGCAGTTCGACGGGTGACACGTGATCCGGCGCATGCTCACGGTTGAGTTCAGAGTTCACGGTCACCACGGTGACGAAAGGTGGTGGGTTCAGCATCGCTTTAGCTCTGTCCAGCGGAGGCATTCCCACCCAATCATTCCGGAAAGGAGGCCCACGTGGGCTCCAGTTTCCCGCTACGATTCCAGCATCAGGCTTGTTGGAGGATGGCTCCGTCCTCTCATTGATCAATTGACGTTTGAAGCTTCTTCCACTTGTGGCAGCTTCTCGCTGGCTGCAACGCCGCATCATTCAAACATCAGACTTCAACGTTGAGTTGGCGAAAGAAAAGGACGAACCTTCCCCAGAGCCCGAGACGCAGAAACACGACAGCGAACAACCGAAGTGTTCCACAAAGCCCAAGAACCACAAAGCTTGTTCGTCGGTGACACAACGCGCGTTTGACAGCTCCAATCGCCGTGGGATATCTTATCCGAGTCTCTGACGGAACCGGAGCCGTGCGCGGACCGCCTGCTAGCTTGATTTTGGATCCGGATTGCCACTACGAAAAAACACTTCGAACGACAGCAGTTTCTTTGAATCTCGACGGCACATACGCAAAACATTAACTGCACAACCGATATACCGACACGCAAATTATAGATAGCTACAAACCATCACAATGTCGAGTCAACCTCTCCTCCAAACCGCGCCAGGTAAGCACACCTTCTACTCCTCGTTCCATGGCGCTCTTGCCGCTGACATCATCCGTCACCTCCACAGGCAAGCGCATCGCTCTCCCCACTCGCGTCGAGCCCAAAGTCTTCTTCGCCAACGAGCGCACATTTCTCTCATGGCTCAACTTTACCGTCATCCTCGGCGCCCTGGCGATAGGCATGCTCAACTTTGGCGACCGGCCCGCCTTCATCTCGGCCTTTCTCTTCACAGGCGTCGCTATGGCAACCATGGTGTATGCGCTAGTGACGTACCACTGGCGAGCCAAGTCGATACGAATGAGGGGCCAGGCCGGCTTCGACGACCGCTTCGGTCCGACCTTTTTGGCCCTCATTCTGCTCCTCGCTGTGGTGGTCAACTTTGTTCTGAGAATCACGTATATTTCGCAGCAGCCTTAGAAAGAATGAGGAGGGCTGGAACTGATGGACGACCTGTGCGACGACAACTACTTTACGGGATTTTGATGAATCAACGCTCGCTTCTGGCTGGGCGTTGCGCCAAATAAGCCAGCAAAACGAGATTCCGAACATCGGAAGAAACAGGAACGATGTACTGCCACTGGCGGGAATTCACGGAGAACTGGTATTCGGTCTCTTGGATATGATACGACGGAGCTACGAGTACGATACGTTATGAGCTACTAGAATGGAGCACACTGAAGCAGATCGGGGGTAGGAGATTTTGGAATGGCTATAAAACATTTGTATCGAGGGGCAGGGGCGTTTGGCTTTGATTGCTTGCATGGGGCCGGCGTTGGTCGACTTTGGGATCCTAAAGCATTACAGACTAACGAATAAAAGTTCAGAGGAGGTACCACAAAGCGAAAGTTTTCCGTTGCTTTGCGAGTGTCATCTGCATTGTTGAAACTCTTGGTCTAAAGATGACAAAGAACGTGTGACCGATGAAGAATGCTACTCGCTTTATCGCTTTCCTTGATCCTTCAAATTTTTTTCCCTGACGCTGGCCTGGATTTAAAAGCGAGCTTGAGAGCTTGGAGATGTAAACGTCTAGATAATGCAAGGTATCAAAGCAAGAATGACCTGATACCGAATAGTGTTCCCATGACTCCGTAATATGCGCTGACCATTGCTAACCTCGAAGCAGAGATTCATCAAGTAAGGCGAGAACCCTCAAACGTCGCGAAGAACTGCTGCGGGCCATTGCTTATGCTCGATGCCTTCCCTCTAGAACCCATAATGCTCATTATGCTCCTGAACTCCATGATAGTGCCCCAACCGAGTGACAGGCAATATCCGCCATCTTGATAAATGCATAGCTCTTCCTACGAGCCTCCTTTCCATTCCTCAAATGGACAGCCGGGCTGCAAGTCTTAAGCCACCAAGCCAACCCTCTTCTTTTTCAGATGCTCAATATGCTGCTCGTTGCTCTGCACAGCAATATTCCGCATCGTCCTCAACTCCTCGATGGGGATCCTCGACAAAAACACGCTCACGTACTTGTTGTGTCGAATCTTGGGTGGCTCAATAGCTCTTTCGAAAACCGTCTGTTGTTGGTGGTGTGGTCCCCGGCCTCCTCCTCCTCCTCCATGTTGTTGTTCTTGTCTCTGATTGCTGTTGTTGTGATGACCACCCATCGTCTCAAATGCCTCCTCCTCCTCTCCGTCGTCATCATCGCCATCCTTGGTCAAGTCCATAACCGTATCCTCCACCACCTCCATCCCACCAGCACCAGCACCAGCACCAGCATCAACCACCTCTTCCTCTTCCGTCTCCGTCAGAACATTATACTGAAACCACTTTTGCTCCCCCTCGCCGATCCTTCGTCGCACCAGCTCGGCAATGGTGACAAGCTTGCTCGAAGCTACCGGCTTAGCGGAGAGGAGCACCACACCGGGAAGCACAGATTGGTCCCACAGGTTGAAGCGGTCGAGGTGTTGCAGCGCTTTGTCGACGTGCTTGGCGATGCTGGTCGAGGGCATGACGCTCATGGTTTTGACTTCATATCTGGGCCGGAGCTTGGCGAGGAGGGACTCGTATGGTTGGAAGGCCGGGGTTACAACGCCGGCGGTGGTGTTGCTCTGGTGCTGGTGGTTACTTTGCAGTGATGTTGTCTGCTGGATATTGGAGGTTCCTGTGGTGCGCTGCTTCTTGTTGGAGTTGCCTGGGATATCGCCGTCGCTGAGATGGCGACGCTTGTTCTGGTTTGACGAGACCGAAGATGAGGCGGAACGTGAGGGGGAAGAGGATGACGCTTGAGGAAGCATTGTGTCTGCGGCGGCCATGGAGTTCCTAGGTAGGTTTTTGATCGATCGATCGTTTCAGCTTTGCGGGCTGGGGCTGATAGGACTGGTGATGATAGAAGTGGTCGCTCGGCCCGGTACCTGGCCGGATAGAAGGCTCTTGAGGACGAGGTGAAGTTTAGCTGGGAATTGCCGTTAATGTTAGGTTATCAAGGGAAGCTTTAGGCGGTACGTACCGATGTTTTGGTAGGCGACTGTTTAATGTCGAATTTGACGTGGGGTCCATGGATGCGTCGATAATTTTGTGGATCCATCTAGGGCTTATCGATAAGAAACGTGCAACCTCATTCCAGTCCAGTGTTGGGCGTGTCGTTCAAAGTTCACTCATTTTCGCTTGGAGATTGATATGAGACGGCGGCTGCATTTCATTAAATTTCCACTTGCATCTAGTAATCGCTCATTTCCTTTCGAATCCTAGGTACATACTGGTATCTCAAAGTCTGATCTGTTATACGAAGCGCGCCTTTGACCTCGGCGACAACATCGCCTGAAGTTGACAGGAGGCTGAAACTTGAGACGAGGTGCCTTGCATTCTACGCACCTACTGCATACTGGAGCGGGCATTAAATTTAGGATAACAGGAGGTAGATGACTTTGAAAGCTGAAGTTCCGGAGATGTTACAACAATGGCTGCTTTTGAAAGAAGCAGAAATCACGAGTTCGCGGCCACGAGGTTGTAAAGAATACACTCTGTGCCTTCAAAGCGATACCTCAAAGCCACATACCTGCTGATTCCACCTGATGGATTGCTGTTACTGATGTTGTCGAGAGAACGAAAATGTATTTAGAGGATAAACGTACTCTTTCTTCCAAGACCAATCTGAGAACGTCGCAATTTTGTCTCTAACCTCATTGCTAATTTACACCACCAGGACGGCGGCGGCTGGGCTTCTGTCAAGAACAGCATGATTCAGTTCGCAACACCATGAATCCTCGTTTAGCTTGTGAATCTTCTTGATATAGATAACGAGAGATAATATCAACTCTTGAAACAGAAGCCAAGCTCGTTCGACGGTTTGAAGTTCTGAGAACATCTGAATATCTAGTTGAACCCGTCTTTTTGACCAATGAAACAGACAGAAGTCGTCATGCAGGTCTCATGCAGGCCGTGGCCCACCATGTGTACTCCGGGGTTGTGCACTGTCTATAATCGGGATCTGTGGGTCTCGACGCTTATCGTTGGTCGGAGGAAGTGCGACGTCCAGCTTCAATATTGGCTGTACAACTTTGCCCATCCTCTGGCGAAGGCTTTATTTTCCACAACTTCATGATGGTGACGGAAAATTCGCAGTCAAAGATTTCAAAGCCGAGGCACATTGAACGCAGAAATCGACTCGGGAAGACGTACCCTTGGCTCGACGCAACACGTGTTCGAGTGAAGAGAGTGCAGACCGCAAGTTTCTGCACTGGCAGCTTTTGGAGTGCATGAAGGTCCATGGTTCAAAACTTAGAGCAGCTGAATATCAAACCTACCCGCTGGCCGCTTGGTTTGCCGTAGGTTTCTGGCTGAGCTCCATTCTCTCTGCATGGCTTTGGATTGAGATGTGGATTTGCGGGGTTTGCAATGTGTAGCAGGGGCCCGCATGTTACAGATCAAGCTAGATTCGAAGATGATAAGAAGGTGCACGTACGACAGCGACGACGACGGTGAGAACAGCTCTCTTATCACAAAAATAACCATTTGCAGCCTGGTTTTGGTTTACTGGCACGCTCTACACCTGCTCATCGGTGATAGGCAAGCCACAATCGACGAGAGGCGGCTGCTTGCAACTTGCTTCCTGAGAGCAAAGAAGCTTACTGGTCCGTTGACTGCTGTTGAGTGTTGACAAACGCACATCGCCTTGGGGCTCTGGGGATGCAAAACCGGCGAAGAGGTTGGTTGAGACTGGGGACTGGCAAGTCAGTAGGAGAGGCTCATGTGTTGTCGCTGACACTGACAGTTCCATCCGAGCCCAGTTCCAGTTGGTTGGCAAGGGTCAAACCGAGTTGAGTGTGATTCCAACACCTCCCGCTTCCAGTTGAATGATGAGACTCCCAGGATTGGGCGTGGTCGGTCAACACCATCTTCACAGTCCCGACTGCATTGCAATCGCATCCTTTCTATGCCGTGCCCCTCGCCCACTCCAACTTTCCCATCTCATTCGCATTTTATTCCCCATCCGGTTGCATCATAAACGCTCACATTTGGTATTGCAAGCACCTACGAAATTGGATGTGACGGCATTTTCTACACTCTTATTTGCGACCTGGAGCCTCCCTTTTGCCATCTGTTTGTGTATGACATTTGGATAATGAGACAGCAGCCAAAGATAATTACGTGATGATTTTCACGACAAAGGAGCCGCGCGTCAATTTTCAGATCAGAGAATCGGTTTGCCTTGCGCCTCGTAACATTGTGCAGGAAGCAGTGCGCATCCACATGTGTGGGTGCAGCCTTCTCGGCGTTTGGGGGCAGCCTTTCGAGCCTTCTCGTCTTTTGTCTTTGATTCCTCTGTCGAGAGCGTTCGTTTCACCTTCGAGTGTGATGGAAGCTTCTTCCGTCCAGTCCAAGCATGCAGATGCTCTTGCACCAAAGCATACTGATGTGAACGAGCAGGAGCAGGCAGGAAGCAGAGTGGCAGAGCATGGGGCTCGTAAGACATGGAGGTCTACAAGTAACAGTAACAGTGACAGGCGGCTTGGCCTCCCACCCTCCACCTTGACCCATCCAATCAGGACAGGAGATTGTGGCCTCTCCTGGAAGTTCCAGTCTCCCTCCCTCGTTTCTCTTCCATCCTCGTCGTTCCTCCCCGACCTTGCCGACCCAAAGTTGGCCCGGTGCCCCCCTTGTCCCCTTGCGTACATTCTTTGGGTGATTTTGCCTTCAATCGGGCCCGTCTCCTTTTGCGACTCTCCGCCCTCAGCGCTCCTCCCCTTACAACCTGCGTGACAGCGCCCATTCACCCTCCAACACCCCCCATTTTTCAATCAACTTACAACCAACTTCTCAGCAACATAATCCGATCAGAACCACCCCGAACCACAGCGCAACCTACATTTTCTTGCTCTTTGAACTCCGCGCTTTCACTTCGCACTTGTTATTGTTTGCTATTATCGCTGTTCCGACCGAGACTTTGACTAGTTCTCGCGCACTCTTCCGAAAGTCGCTACCTAATCACCACCGTTTTCGCACACTACGACACTCGGGCGACCTCTGCTGTTCTGTTGGGCCAGCACCCAACACTTCGCACCTTCCGACTGCCACCAGTTGTGACTCGGGTCGGACCCTCGGACCCTGCTTCGTCCTCGGTTGGGTCTTGGTCTCTTGGGGCGCGGCCACATCATCAAAGCCAAGCAGCCCACTCCGCCAAGCCTTCCGGTTCCCTCAAGGTCCCCGCCCCTGCGCGCTGCTAGCGGTCTGCGACTCTGCGCCGAGCTAACCTGCAAAAGGCAATCTCAAACAACCAACTGGCAACTCCACACAAGCGATCAAGCGGCCCCCTGATTTCAGCGAAAGTTGAAAGGACCCACTTGCTCTCTTCCTGGGTTACGTCAGCCTTGCCTGCCACACCCCAATAACAGGCCCACTCGTCAGCTGCTGCCGGCCTGCCACGCGTACCCGCTCGGTTGCCTGTCCAATACGCACCCCCTATTCGGCCTGTTTATCCTATTCGCTCCCCCTTCGACTAACACATCACCACCACCATCTGTGACTCTTGGATTATCAGGTGCTCCTGCTGCCTGCAAAGTTCGTGACGCTTATATCACGTCTTCCGCCCTTCTTTCCCGACCTATCCTCGGGATCGCAGCCTCAGAACGCGTCTACGCCCGAGACCTTTCATATCACCACATGTTTCCTTTCTGGACTACCGAGTCAAGGGAAAATGACAAGACGTTAACGTTAGATGCAAGCCATCCTACGCTTTTGGATCGTGCCGAATCATCCGTGTCCACCGTGTCAGCTCTTCCGACCGCGTCGGGTCTTCCGACGCCCATCTCTCCCACATCCACCCACTCACTGAAGCGAAGACGGCCCAGCGCTGTTGATACCGCTTCCCGTGTCAATGGTCACTCGTCGTCGAAGCGCATCAAGACAGAGCAGGGTGGCGGTTTACCTTCGCCGGCCTCGGCCTATGCAGACGGGGATGAGGCGGCAAGGCCGTCCAAGCCCGCCGCCTCCGGGCCCAACCTAGAACGTGCAAAGGACGTCATCCAATATCAGTTTGGACTTGAAATCCTGATGAAGCATGACGAGCTCCGTCTCATCAACCAGGAGCTGGCCAAGTGTCAGATTGCTCTCGAGCAGCTTCGCCGGTGTCATCTCATCCCCTACCCTGTCCAGTGTCCGACACCCAGTCAGATGCTGGACATCAGCAGTGGCAAGGGTCCTGCTCTTCAGTCGAAACCAGGAGAGTCCGTACCGAAGTGGGCGCCACCCTTCGGGGTTGTTGACGGCCCGTATGCTCGGCACTACGCTAAGTGGCTGATACCCGATCCCATGTTTGACGGTATTCAACCGGAGCCAGTCGTGGAGACTGCCCGGGCAAGGAACGCCGTTGCTGAAGGCAGAACGACGAGGAATAGCATGTCTGACGCAGGTGGTCTAGGAAAACAACGGTCTGCCCGTGGGCAGGTCACCCAGAAACTCCAAGCGTTATCCAGTGGATATTCGCATCCCAAGGATAAATCATTGCCTTGCATTGTGAAACGGTCGGATGGGCTGACGGTCAAGCTCGTCTGCCTTGATTGCCACAGGTGGAACTTCTCGAGCACGCAGGGCTTCATCAATCACTGCCGTATAGCCCATCGGAGAGACTACAAGAGTCACGACGAAGCCGCCCTTCATTGTGGGCAGCCCATTGACGTTGATGAGAATGGAGGTATTGCTGCTGAGGAAAAAAAGCCTTCGCCTCCCATCGTTCCAAGCGTTCCAAATACTACCGGTTCCGCTTTGGTGCACCCGCTGGCACGCAGCGAACCCCTTTCGGAACAGCAGGCATACAAGGCATTGCTCTCGCGTATCAATGCGTCACTGGAGCTATACCATGCTGGCCAGCTCCCGGATGTGAAGAAGATACCAACCGCGCCACCAGCATCAAAATCGATGTCTTCCAACGCACCAGATTTTGTTGGCTCGTCCGACACACCGTTTCTGACGAAGCTGATGCAAAAGAAGAAGGTTGGGGGTAATCTGAGTGAGAAGGTAAAGGATGCAAAGACCAAGGTCGATTGGGACGCAGTTCTGTCGCGTAACGATTCTGAAGATACCGATCAATCGAATGCCGCAGAAGGTGCTACGAGCTCCAAGAAGCCTGCTGCGTCGACAGCGCGGGTATCAGCCGTCATGCGTAAGCCGGCCTCGTCTACCATTTCTCCTCCATCATTCTCGAGGATTTCCACTTCCCCCGTCCCTCTACCAGCAACAAGCAGAGGTCGTGCTCCGGCCCACTTGGCCAGCTTGCCCATCACAACTACTAGGCAGAGCAATCCACCAGATCTCCCCGCAACGCCCATGTATGAGGACGACATGGACACAGAATTGAGCCCGAACACCGTCGCTAGCAATAATGCGCCCTCACTTGTTAGTGATGATGGGGAGTACGATGATTCCGACGATGGATCTTCCTCCGACACCAGCGATGAGATTGAAACTCGGTCTGTCTCGGATGTGGCAGAAATCAATATCGAAGAGGAGGGTCATGACGTGGTTGTCGCGCCTCGCGCCCCAATTTGCCAGCACCGAAAAGAAAGAACGACCGACAGGACGGGTACCGGGAAATTCAAAAAGGACGAGAGCCGACATGTAACCTTTGTGACACCTATTCCTCCCCCGAAGCCGAAAACCAAGGCCAAGTCTACGGCTACTGGCAGCAACAGACGCAAGCAGAAGTCTTGAGAATGCTTAGGAAGGATGGTACACGTTTGGTTACGGAGGGGGGGCAGGAACCTCTTTCACCATGCCGTTACGTCTGTGGCCGTTTCTGAGATCATCCCCTCGTCGGCTTGAGCAGGCACAACCTCCATATATACCATACTATTTACGAGATGTTACTACACATATTTTAATGATGATGAATGAGAGAACAGCGTTTCAGGCTTCGGAACAGAAAAAAATGCCTAAAGCTTATGAAGTTAGGGTCCGGCAATTTGTGATTTTGGGAGGGGCGTTCTTTTCTTATTTTTTTTTCTATCTTTTCTTGTCCCTCTTAACTACTCAACTCGTATTATCATCCAAGACAAACAAGAACGGTCAAATAAAACAAAGCTCAATTGGAATCTCTCTCCATCTCGTATATTCTATAAAACTAGGCCCTGTTATATCTGGCTGTCTCATCCGATCGAATGAAGGGAAAGACAAAAGGGTGTCATCTCAATGACCGGCCGCGTTAGACGAACAAACGGGCGGAATGGAAGGAGACGGGTACCAACCAGGCAGACCACGTTCATGTGCAAGTTTCTTGACCAATGAATGTAAATAATTCGTCAAGGACCTTCCCACTTTATCACGTAGATAATCATGAACCTTTCCAAAGCGCTTGCCTTAACTCTTCTTGCGTGATGACCAGAATGCTTGAGAAGATGGTGGTGGAAGGACAATCACTACGTAAATATAGGAAGTGGAAGGGTTAGCAAGAGAAGTGAGGACAAATGTCTGTCTCAATCCAAGCTTCCTTGAAGCGACCCCTTAGTACCTCGCAACATGACGGATACGTACAGTCCGATGCTTGGTTAGTAGTATGTTAGCTTGGTCCTCCGAGTGAGACCTATCCCGACCCGTTGAAATGCCGGAAGGTCGATATCAAAGGCCAAAGTAAAACCCCAAAATGCATTATCTATATCAGAAGTAGCATGTCCACAGTAAATTCAAGCCTCTGTCATCGAGGAAAACATATAAACTGGATGTAGAAACGCCTAAACAAGTTGACCAGAAGTCTCAAAGCTAACAAACCTTTTAAGGGTATATATTGTATATACGCCTCAAGTAACCTTTAATCTCAAAACGCTTTATATCTGCCCATCAACCCAATATCATATCATCGGTATCCATTTTGCTCGCTCCTCCCCCACCAAAACTGTTCACGTTAGTTTCCCGTCTATCCGGTAGCCTCTTCAGAGGAAGGCAGCGCCAGAGGCCTGCGAATCATCAACTCGAGCGATTCTGTCGGCGCGTATAGTGATTGATGATTACCGTATCTAAAAAGAACTTGGTGGTCCAGGTCCCATTTGAGCTGCTCCACTTTGTTCTCCACGGCGTTCTGGACTTGCCTTGCCTCTGCTCATCGCCTATCTCGACCTTCAACGACAGTTTGTTCTATATCGCCATACCGTGCGTGACACGATCCGAGTATGCGAGCGTAACCTTCACCTTCGACACCCGCTTGACGACGGCTCTCGATCTATTATTCCCAGTCCGTACAACAGCTTTGAAGTCGTTGCGGCTGGATACGTTGTCAACCCAAGCGGGATGGGAAGTCATGGCCGCAAAAAGATTACTGATTCTGTCCTTGTCATACGAATGCTCCTCTTGAAGGTCTGGAGGGAAGGCCTGCAGTCATCGGTCCCGACAGACAGGAGAGGGAAGGATCCGGCATCTAAACCCCTCTAATGATTTCACCTGATGCGTAGGTCATTCTGCACGAGCGAAGCTCACTTTCCGCTAAGCCATCCATGGTGCAGTTCTATGCAACAGGTCCGAGGAGCAAATCCCAAGGCGTGCACTGTCTCAGTCCAAGCTTCCTTGAAGCGTGTCCTCGCTCATTACACCTCGCAACATTAGGCACTGACACGTAGACATTCTGGAAGGTATGATCATGATAATGGGTACTAACGTCATACAAGGAGGCACCGGCTGAAGGGTCCGAAAGTTCAAGGAAAGCATCATGGTAAATTCAAATGGTATGATATGTCGTAGACAACAGGGGGTTTCAACGTCTTTCAAAACTTGGCATTTACAAAATATAACAGAAATGAGATTGGTTTCAAGATAGGTATCGAGATCGGATAGTATAAATAAAGGGGGTATAAAGGGGGGTATAAACGAAGTCGTGCCAAATAAAACAATCCGACCAACCAACCAACCAACCCAACGTCGGCGAGCATGTCGTTTTCAATTCCATGGCGTGGTTGTTGTTTTCTTTCTTTCGGCGTAACACATCAGTTCTTGTTGCTTTTTGTCTCGATTTTTATCATCATCATGGTCGTCAGACCCGACTTGTACCTGAATGGAATGGCTGCTGCCGTTCTACTAGTTAGGCAAAGCACCCTTTTCAGGAGCCGCGGCCGCGGGGGCAGCAACAGGCACCTTCGCGTCACCCGCATTAGCATAAGCAGGAGGAGCGGCGGCAACCGGAGCCTTGGTGTCAACGGGCGAAATGTTGGTCGGGCTGGCAACCACACCAGTCTTCTGGGCCTCGTTCAGAGTCAGGTTGTTGGTCGCAGCCTCGAGCTTCTTGTCCTCGGTGTCCGGGGTGGGAGTGGTGACGGGGGTGGCTACGCCAGGACCAAGAGCGCCGGTGACATTCCTAATGACTTCGAACCACTTCTGAGCTTCCGCGGCGCTGTGGGCCTTGAATTGCAACTCCGAGGTGCCCGCCAACTTGCTGGTGAGGCCCTTGGACTTGTCCTTGCCCTTGACGTGGAACTTCTCGCCGTTGGGGGCACCGATGATGGCATCGGGCAAGTAAATGCTGAGTTCGGGCTGGGGGTCCTTGCGCTTGGGGTCGTTGTCCTTGAACTCATGAAGGTACCTGGCAGGGGTAACTACGTAGTAGCCAGTGCTGTAGCCCCACGAGAGCTTGTTGCGAGACTTGCGGTCAAGCGAGCCCTCGATGAGCGCCTTGGTAGAGGGGTTATCGACGTTGGGAACCAAGGGGAGCAAGTGGCCGAGTTCACGAGGCGGTTCGTTCTCGTTGACGAGAACGTCGGCCCTGCGGGCCCGGAATTCCTGCCACTCAAACTCGGGCGGGATGTTCTGGGAGGTTTGGAGCACTTGGGCGTATAGACCACGAATCTGCTCGGCATGGCCACCAGCGAGTGTGTTCAAGTCCTCCATGGCCTTTTGGATGCACTTAACGACTTTGACCTCAAATTCCTTGAACTGGGCTTGGGCGGTGATGAGTTCGGTGCGATGATTGTTTTCATCTTGAATCTGGTTGTGGAGGCGGTAGATGACGCCTTGGCGAAGAACATAAGGATCATCGGCCGGAGTGATCTCGGCGCCGCTCGCCCCGAATGAGGCAACGTGCTGGCCGAGCAGCTCGATATGCTTTTGAGTCGTGTTGCGGGACTTCTCGACCGCCTTAGCGCCCTTGTTCAGGCTGTTCGAGAGCCTCTTGGAATAGTCCTTGATTTCGTGGTGCAAGCCCTTCAGGTCGTGGAGGACGGTCTCCTTGAGTTTCTTCTGTGTCTCGAGGTTGCTGTTGATCATGCCCTGGGTATTGGCGCGCAGAACCTCGAACATGGTCGCGACACCGGTGACATTGGTGGCAATTTGGGAGAAGTGATCCCCTTCCCTCAGGGGGTGGGAAATGGTCTACCGAACGGTGTAAGTATTCAGAAAGCGCCGTGACACAGAACCATGTGCTTGTAGCGGGTTCTCTTACCTTCAAGACCTTCTCATATTCCTTGGCTTGAGAATGGTGAATCTTCTCAACAGCCTCGACGTAGTCTTCGAGGTAGGCGACGGCGTGCTTCCATGCCCGGAGACGCTCGACGAGAACACCGGCGGTCTGGTACAGAAGCGTGTTAGTGACATTTTCCGTGTAGGTGCGCAAGGTCTAGCGAGGGGCTTGGCGGCGTACGCTGTTGGGATCGAACTCGGGAATGGCCAAGTCATCGCTGGCGGTGCTCGCCATTGTTGTTTGCCTCGAGGGCGCTGCCGACGCGTTGGCGGACATGATTTGCGCTGTTTAAAAAAAAGGTTGCTCCTGTCGCGAGTCAAGTGAAGGCTGTGTAGATGTTACTCGCAGTGGTTTGTTGATTACCGTGGTATGGAATACTGTCGCAGAACCTCTTTTATTTTAGAAAGAGGAAGACTTCTGCCAAAGTTGTACTCGGCTTAAAAAGATCACGCAAGAAAGGGGCAAGGATGGGTTTAAAGCGAGTTCCAATCGGTTGGGTTCACAGCTTGAGGTGTTCGTCCCAACCCTGTGCAAGTGGGTGACCAGCTGAGTCGACGCGCAGGAGAACAAGGTGGATGAAGTCATCCAGACCCTGGAATGGACCGGAGGGAACCTTTTTGGCCCAACCTCACAGCAGTCTCACAGTCTCGCTCCTCCTTTCTCCAGTCCCCCTCTCCACGCACCGCCAAGCTGGGCGGTGGAGTGTCCACAAGTTCACAAGGTGGATCTCTTGGAGAGACTTGGAGATGTGACCGTCTCAGCCCATTGGCCAATCGGCCGGCATAAGTGGAACGCCTCTTGCGACAGTGCAGCATCGGTGCAGCGAGACACAGGCTGAAATGGGCCATGTGCATTGTGCAGTGAGTGAGAGAAAAAAAAGACACTGCGACGCTTTTGCACACCTTGTGAAAGCGATTCCATGCCTCACGGTGATTGGTAGGCTTCCCAAGGGAGCACCGCGAAGCTCAATCTGAAGCCGAACAAGTCGATTCATCCCTGCGCGGATCATCACAAATGGTATGACGTATCTCATGGCAGTGGGGGGCATTGTGCTCCCCAATCCAGCTGAACTTCGGTTCTGGACTGCTTGTCTCTCCCGTGGAGATGTGGCGGGGTTGAGACTTCTTGGTGTTCTTGTTCACTTTCACGAGTGATCATCGCATTTTTTTAATCAACATAAGCATTGATAGTCGCTTTCCAATGTGTGAAGCCAAAGATTGTCGATTAACTTTTCAGTGCTTTCAGTGCTTTCTGGGGTAACCACGCAGAAGAGGATGGAAAGAGATGAGCGCGATTGTCGAGAATACCACCATGGCCTTGACTTGCGGCGATGCGAATCTGTCTCAATGACGTATGACGGGATAGCCCAAACAAGACTCCTGTCAAACACGGTAGGGCACCGGTAGGACGTTGTGACCCGAAGCCGTCCTCCTCCATGTCCGATTCGAGCGATTCGAGCGGCGCGCCCGCCGTTGTCTTGTCGCAAGTCGCGACATGGCATCAAATTGCTAGACTGACATTCTTTCTGGCCTTGAAGTATTGATCAGATGTGACAACATCTCAACAGGTAGCAGAGATGTTATTTTTATATATTGTTAAAGAGTAAGTACTCGGTATTGTCCATTGTGAGGAGGGGGTATCAGATTCTATGTAGATGGTCGTAAAGTGCGGGCGCCGCCAATCCATCTTTCACCTTCCAACAAGTATGCTCATGTATAAGCCAGTTCTATCAACATCCACCGTTCCGAGTCCGCTGTTTTTCCCAAATCATACGCGCCCAACGAAAGAGAGAAAAGCCAATAACCAAAAAAAGAAACCCTTTGTCGCCATCCCCAACCTAAACTCCGTGCAAGTATGCGTAATTATTTGAGCAGCCAAGAACAAGCCAGATCACCACGGGTTCTGATCGCGAAAGAAACACATGCCCCGGCAAACCTCTACTCAATTGGCCTGCATCATCGACGAGTGCCGTCTGCGATCCTCAGACTCTGAATGGGACTGACCGTGGTGGTTTGAATGCGAGTGATGGATGTGTGGAATGTGCGAGAGCGTGAAGGCGAGCCGTGACCGCGTTGACTTGCGCCGAGGCGGTTCCGGAACGAATTGGCTGCGCTCTTCCACTTTGCTTGCACCATCCCCAGCCTCTGAGTGACCAAGTTCCGGTGAGCCAGGAGTGGTTGTCCCAGAAGCGCTTGTCGCAGCCACGTAGTCGGGCAGAACCGTGCCCTCGGGGTACACGATGGGCCGAACTGGTGTCTTGACCGCCGTGTGGTAACTCGGGACCTTGCTGAGCTCCATTATGCCCGAAAAGTCCAAGTGCTCTGGCGTATGATATCCCGACATGGCCTCGGCAGTGATATTATCGTCGCTGTTCTGTCGTGTCAGGGGTGCCGACGGAAGGGCCGAACTGTGAACACTGTCCGCGGGGCCATTGTTGGGCGTGTGGCCATTGTTGGGCGTGGGCGCCTCCGAGTCTCCATCATGCCACGAGGTGCTGCGGCTCGAAGGCTCCAGGGACATACTCTGTAATCTAGACGTGAGTGCTGCCGGAGGTACCGCCGTGCTATGGCTGTGGAGTAACGCTGCGAGATTCTCGACCGATCCTGCGCGAGAGTGGCCGTACAACGGGCTCGCCATGCCGGCCGGAGTCTGCAGGCCCATGGGTTCCATGTCTTCGTAGAGCTGGTCTAGTGTATGTTCGTCGTAGCTTGGAGGGGGAGCAGCGACCACATCCCCAGGCGTCGTCCCATTAGGCATCTGCCTCACCAGGTTGCCCTCTTCATCCAAGGGCATGTTGGGGGAGATGAAGATGGAAACAGGCAAGGTTGCGCGAAGTTCCGAGATATGCCCATCCGGGTTGTGTAGAGCGAGCACCACCTTCAACTTGTGGCGCACCTTGATGCCGTGAGCGTTGACATCCTGCACACACTTGCCTAGCGTCCGTGGCAAGTCGAGCCCTGTGTTCATCACCCATCCTTCCTGTCCAGTATCCTCGATGACATCTTGCCAATGCTTCTCCCTCTCGATGGGAATCTTCCAAACCGAGACTTCCCGTTCCTTCTTGTGTTCGCGGATACCGTAACCTGAATGGGACTGAATCATGAACTCGTGAACCTCCAGCAGCCTGATGGTGATCTCTCCCAGCTCCAGGCCCTTCAAAAGAGGCGTAAACCTGGTTTGCAAAGGAATCGTGCTGCCAAAAACAACAGCCTTCTTGGGAATCATGATTGAGTACTCAACCTTGTTTGGCCAGATGTTTTCCACGCTCATTGTGTGAAGAAATTCCAGGGTAGACGGGTCGAGGGTTCGGATGATGCGCAGACGTTTGTAGGCGTGGAGATCGTAGGCCAGCTTGCCTCGTGCTACCGTAGCCTTAAGTTTGTAGGTGAGACTCGCTTCGCGGAGACCCTCGACGCTCTCAGTCATGTCTCCCGGCAGCATCAGCTCAAAGGGCCATTCGTAGTTTCCGGCGGGCAGTGTAACACCCCTGGTCATGAGTCCGTTGGGGCTACCGATAGACTGATTTTCAGCGCCGACGCCAATGAAGGGCTTCCATCGGTGACAGTATACCATGGTGGTGCGGTCGATCTTGTGGTTCGATATTCCGGCGGCAGTGACTCGAGGGTCGTTCCAGCTGGGCAGCACCCGTTAGCTTTCATCTGACATTTGAACAAGGGGCTCCACTCTGTGCACCTACCTCATGTGCAGAGTTCCCGTCAACCTTAAATGAACGTCCTCGATTTTCAGCGGCGCTGGTAGGCATAGCACAACGGTGCCTTGCAATAGTTGGCCAGCAGATTCGTGCTCATTGCCGCGAAAGACGATGAAGTCGTTCTCAAGTCTAGGGTTGACTATGGGTTAGCCATCGTCTTGGGCGCAAGGTCAAAATGCAAACAGTGGGGCGCGGCGCAAAAGCATACCGAATGTCAAAGTAGGTGTAGGCATGCTTCCCTGTCACCGTAGTGAAGGGATTGGGGAACGGCATGGCCGGCTAGTGGAGAGCGCAGAGATACGGGTGTCCTGGCGATGTGTCTTTGGTGTTATTGAAGAGACAATGGCGAAAGGCGGTGGATATGGCCAGAAAATATGTTTATTTTCGCATCAATGGCAAAGCTCGAAGCGGGATGTAGGGATGTAGTGGTATCCGGCTATTAGGTAAACAGACGTAGTGGCGACGCTATGAGCGATAACGGCGCATGATATGCGAAAGAGCAAGAGGTTGTTTTATGCGATGTCGAGAGAGTATAGTCAGGGATAGATATGGAGAGAGGACAAGGAAACGAGAGAGAATGGGCAAGCGAGAAGACGATGTAAAAAGAAAGAATGACGAGTTAGACACTGGGAGGAAAAATAATGACAGGATGCAGACGTTATGGATCCGCCGAGGTACCAGGGAGGGCGGGCCAAAGACTCTTGCAGAGAACGAAGAGACTCTAGAAAGGGACAAGGGTGTGAGGGCGAGTCGAGTGTGGATAAGGCGGAAGAGATTCATAGGCCGATGGGCAATGAGATGGGGATCGTGATGGGTCTGGAGGATAGGCGGAATGGCGGGAATGGGCATGCCCTGGTTCTCCTTCATGTTCACCTTCCCGCGGGTTGCCAGAATATCTCCACCCTTCAGACTGTTCCAGGTTGGGAAGTGTCACCTTTGGTCACCTCAGCTGGGAACGTGAAGGAGGGCAGTGTATCAAGACCAGGCCAAAAAGGTACTCCGGCTGCGGATACTACCGACCTCGAAAGCAATGGGTACACTAGCAGCGTGGGTTGCCATCCACACCATCTGTCTAGCGGCATACATTCGTGATACATAGCTGGATCCCAGCCTGCCACCCATTTACTGTGTACGAGCGGTGTTCCACTTACAATCTGAGCTCGATAAGTCTATCAAGTCGGAGAGGTTGTTGGGATGGCATTGACGCAATGGATGATAGCGCCAATCTGTCACCGTGACAGTAAGTGACGGGCATGGCCACAAAGACACATGAGACTGAAAACATCGATCAGCCCCTATCTGAGAAAGAATGGCATCGGGATGTTGGTGGGGGCATGTCGATAAGTAGCGTCATTCAGTTGGGAGGGCTTTCCGTGCACCCTTGTCAATGCTGGGCTGAGAGGTAGGAGTACCTGCGCATGCAGGAAAAACACGGAATCTCGAAAATCGCCGCATTCTTTAGCTGGGTAGACTCAAATCCATACATAGATAGACTAAACCCACTTTTATCGCTAAATAAGCCCAACCGCCCAACCCAACCGCCCAACCCAGCCTAGCACACCATATATAACGTATATATTGCTACCCAACCGCTGCCACCGTCGCGTTATCTATTAGCAATAATTAATCTTATACAATTAAATAAAACTATTGTGAAACCTTACTTTAATATTAAGTAAGCGTTTACAACAATTATCTTTCGTTTTTATTATT